CAGAGTAAATCAGGCTCCAGTTTAATTGTGTAATATTTTTCTTCTCCAACTGGTCAGGTTGGATCAATCCTGGAAGGAGAGGTTGTAAATGGAGTGCTAATATTTTGGCATGGATCTTGAGATCTATATTGATTATTGAAATGTGTTCCCTAAAGGAGAGCATCTTTTCCTGGTGGAAGAGGGCAACTTTGTGGTAGATTAGAGGTAGTTAAAGGTACTCCAGCTTTTGTTAAATTATTCTACAATATTTGGAAGTATACCTTTATGGACCTGGACTCAACCCTAAGGGGTTGCTTTTAGTGCTGCCATAAATTCCTCCATGATAATAGGTTGTCTAAATGGGACCGGATATTAGAAGGTATTGTTTGGGCTTTTGTCTTAGCTAAATTGCTCAAAGGGGTGGTGTATCTTGTAGATTACATAAATGCTGATAGAACCTATATCAGGTGGGGAGTGTTTCAAGAGCCCAGTTTTAATGTTTCTTAATCAAAATGTATCTCATACATGCACAGAAAATGATGTATTCCTAATCTCTGTGAAGTGTTATGGTTCAGAATCAATGTCATGCCTTATTTCAGCTTGTAATGTACTCATTTATGCCTCAATAAAAAATTGATTGTCTAAAAATATATACATATACATTGGTATCAGCAATCCTGATGCATGAATTATGACTCAATCTTCTATTGGTCTAAATGGTATAATGCATCTTGAAGAATTTCAGGGTCAAGTAGACAACATCTTAACAAAGAAACTCATTCAATGGAGACTTAAGATGGATGCCACAGAACAATGGGTGTTCAGATGTAAAAAAGACAAGAGTTATCCAGAATATTAGTCAGAATAGGCAGCACAGTTGCAAAATAAGAACAAAAAGCAGGGAGGAGGCAAAGAGCAGCAATTAGATGTATTGTACTTGTTGTGATTCCAGGTATAAGAGTCCTGAAATTACTGCGTACCGAATATAAAATCACAGGAGAAGCCTTCGGCAGCTTCAGCAAAAGATGAACTTTGAGCTCCAATGAGATAAAAGTGTTTGCAAGGGTTTGTGTTAATACTTACCAATTTAATCACAATTTGATGCAAAATATACATGAAAATTATAAAATGAGTATTCCTGGGTTCAATAAAATAATGCAAAAACACCTATGATACATACACATAATATAATGTAGGGCTTAATTCCTCCCATGAAAACAAACAGAGTTATTTACTATAGTGGGAATTGTTGTGAATTCAAAGAGAATTTAACATTTTACACCAAAAGAGCCTGAACTGAAAGCATTGCTCACTTGGAGACTTTTCCAATTCAGCTATTAAGGCCTTAAATTTAAATTCGCTTTGAACTCCCACCAATTCTCATTTAA